AAAATACAATATCGAAATAATAAACTAATTAAATAATAAACTATTCTATAACAATACCTTTCTAATATAGCATAGTCATTTGTAGATATATATAGATAATCAGTTAGATTATGCAAGATAACTACAGAATATTAGACCTAAAGTTTTAATATTTGATTCTCTCTACGAAAATATGACTTGATTAAATAAAGATACTGCACGATCTATCATAAATGAAGCAAAAAAAAAAAGTAATCTGTTAAACAATAAATAACAAATACAAACCAAAAAAGTTATTTAAAAAAAAAACAAACTAATAGTTATACTCTATAATTATCTAGTTTGTTTTATACAAAAGAATTTATAATTATATAGATAATTATAGAGAAGTATAACTGTATATATAATAAAAAATATGGCGATATAGTAAAGTGGTCAAGTTGTTACCTTCAAGTAGCAGGTCAAGAGTTCGAATCTCACTAGTGATAAAAATTTAAAAATTCTGCTTGTATTATAGTTAACTAAATTCGATCAATTAGTTGGAATAGAATACTTGTAACTAGTATTATCATGGGATACAGACAGCAGACAGTCTGGGATAGGATATTCACAGATATGTTTGCAAAAATTTTTTTTGTCCTGGATATCTATACTAGTTTAAATAATCAACATGTGATTATTAGCCAATAAAATTATTTGATATATATATAAATTACTATCATTATTTTACACAACCCAGATCAGAGATGTTACGGTTTTACATATAGCTATATATTTATATACAATTTGCATTTCTTAAACATTAAACATATTAGAAGTATAATAATATTTCGAATCAACTTATCTGTTAATATTTAAATAAAATAATGATAAATTTTAAGTTTATTAAGTTAATAAGTCAAACTGAATATAAAGTTTTTAAAACTCACTTTTGATATATTTATATATTTTAGACAATTTGATTGGCTTGTATAGCGGACATGTCCCGAACATAGTAGAGACAAAGTTAAAAATTAGCAGAACAGTGTCCGTGTACAATGCTCTGCTAGGACATCATTGCGGACATGGAATATGGGACATTGTTTGGGACTATCCATGTCTTTGTAAAATTGGCAGAACAACGTCCATATATAATACTACTTGTAACTACAGTCATACTAGCAAGACTAGAAGGTCTGAGGTATTCATGTGATATAATATTATATAAAAAAATACAAACCAATAATAGAGTGATACAAATATAAAATAAACTCCAGACTATGTAAATCTGAAGAACTGCAAATATGGAAGCCTGCTTAGCAAGTCCTGAATAGAAAGGTAGTATGAATTTTTAATAGAACTATTGTAAAGGTTTGATTCAGGAAACAGAACTCATATAAACTGAACTGGATGAAATATAGTATATTGGGTATATCTGTGCTAACTAGACCACTACAAATAAAAAAAAGAATTAGAAATCTAGCTAGAGAGCTTTTGCAATTGCAGGCAAGTCATAGTGATAGTGAGAGACTTACTAGACACTCTTTAAAGAGTATTTGCTTAAACACAGAGAAAAAATATATAGTTATCAAACCATCTAGCTTGGAAGTCTAAGAACCAGAATCAGTGCCTTTGTTATCAGATAAATAGATAAAATCGTCAATACTAACTAGGCCACTATCAAATCAGAGAAAATAGATAATTATGTACTAGGCTATTTGAATTAAAATTTTGAATAAAAGGAGTTAGGTTACTAAAATATTAAAAATATATTGTAAAGTAAGTTTTGGAGTTTGAGTAAACTCTACAAGGGCAAAAGTAAATTTGAATAGCAGAGTTTAGCCAAAACTAGGGTTAAAACCATAGAAAGAAAGTAGAAAAAAGTTTAAGCTAGAGAAAAAACTATAAACATAGACCTCAACCTGATACTACATATATTTTTAGAATAGATAAAAACTAAGCCACAAGTAATAGGCTATGGTCTGTATATACCAAACTGAAACACAGGCTAGATGAGATATAAAGTAAGAATACTGTAAGCTCTGTTAGGTTTATCTTAAAGATAAAGTAGTTCTAAGTTGGTATATAAAATATATGCCTGTGAAACTAGTTCTTTAAACTAGAAGAAAAGTGCTAATTGATGTAGACCTCAGAGTTTATAAACACAAAGAGTTTAAATGGATAACCTTTAGTTGGATTGCAGGTACAGCAAATAATATAAACCTTAGAAATAGACAGACTACTTAAATAGGTACTCAAAAGACACAGGTATGATTAAATGTACTCTCAAAATATATACAATGACTGTTCTAATACAATAAAAGCATAATATGATCAAAAGGTTACCTTAAAACCAAAAAAAAAACTTTATACATAATATTAAATAACTCTTTTATTTTTCAAAATCTATATAGATACAGTACATAATATTTAAAGACTACACAAACTTTAAAAACCAATAACTTTTAATCTAAAAAAGATATTTGAAAAAAGAAACTGCTATTTTGTAGCTAATTTAATTTATTATAACTTAGCAACCTTATTTTTTAAAAAGTTATAATAACTTTTCAAAATATATAGCTTTAAAAATATAATATTTTTGGGTTTAGATCTTATAGCTTATTGGTTAAGCTCTTAAACCTCACAGATAAGGTTAATGGTTTGAGTTGAACTGGAGGCAAATTTTAATAAAATTTGTTTCTGTAACCTATGAGGGCTATAATCAGATGTGAAACCCTATAAAAAGTCCAAGTGCAATACGAAACCAGAATAAGAGTTCCTAGAAGAAGACCAGATTGTGGAGTAAAAGTACTATGTGTAATAGCAGTATTATAGAAAGTCTAAACAGTAGAAGATTGCACATATAAATTCTCTGGTTGGGGTGACTCAAGGCAATACCAACATTTTATCATCTCTATATTTAGCAATACTAACATTTCTATACCCAACTTGTGGAGTATTTGCTTGGAAGGATGATCAATAAATTATACATATAAGTCCTAATATAGAATGGTATTAGGTATTTGCTTGGAAGAGTGATACTATACTACTAAAACTAGAGTAGTAAGAGAAGTGATAATACACAACTATGGGCTGTGATAAAGGATTATGTCTTAACTAGAATTGGAAGCACTTTTGGTACTGGTAGAATGACTATAGAAAGCTACTCAGTGTAGAGAATATAATCTATCTCTGTATATCTAAAGGTATCAATTTGAAGCTCTGGTCATATCTATATTGAAGCCTATAACAAAAAAGAAGTTAGAATTTATTAATATTAATACGATACCAACTAGAAATAGCTAAAAGTGATTTAGCTTGCTACTTAAGTAATTTCATGATATTAGACTAGTTTTTAACAAGATAGATCATTAAAGCAGAATTATAAAAATAATCAATGACTAAGAATATATAACCTTGTAGTTGCTATGCAACTCAAGAAGTTCTCACGAACTATGGTCTTGACAAATACCATATAAGAGAGTACTTAGGGGATAATAAGAAGTATACTGTATCAGATAACTTAGGAAATACTAAGACTTGGAGATGACAAACTAGGTAGCAGTAGCAAGACCTGGCTTGAAATATGAGACTAGTATACCTAAAGATATACTAGTATACCTGAGAGAACAAGTAGAAGGTTTGGGGTATTCATATAATATTAAGTTATATAAAGGAATGCAAACTAGCAGATATTATAATATGACTATTTCAATAAGAGGTATTACATGAACTGAGTAGTACAAACTCATGATAAGTCCTTTTTCCAACATGTGATATCAATACTTTTTATGTAGAACTAGCAGTAGCAGTAAGTATCTGGTTTGAGAAACATAGACGAGAACCCATCTATTAAAAGAAGTATACTAATTTAAAAAATACTTTGAATAATAGGCACATCAAATTGAAAAGCTATTAAAAACTGATTATCTAAATGAACTAATTTGGAAGTTACCAAGATTTGATAGTAAGATATGAGATGAATATGGTAAGTAACTAAATATAATCTGAACACCAAATCTAGATATAACCTAATATGTGATAGAAACATAGTATACTCTGGTAAGTTTAGATCATAGATAAAATTGTCTAAGTCTATATTCTTAAAGATAGATATGTAGCTATATAAAGCAAATACTTGATAAATATCTAAATAAAGATATGAGACAAGATCTCATCTTAATACTGAAAAAAAAATATAGTATTTTTATATAATACATAATAATTTAACCAAAAATAGAACAAGTCTTATGTTTTGACTTCTTGCTATTGACTAATTTTAAAATTATTTTTAAAATATTTTTTATTAATTAATTTTTGGCCAATCAGAATACAAAAAATCACAAAGGCATCAAATTTCAATATAAAATTTTTAAAAATAAAACAAATGTAGTCTTTAAGTATTATGCACTATACTAATAAAATTGTAATATTAATTTGTATCTAATATTAATATAATTTTTTTTTAATTTTTACTTCTTTTTTACAGATTATCTTATATTAAACAAAAAATCAACTTGACTTGGCCTAAATAAAAAATACTGCTAATTTTACTCTTATGCGGGTTTATTCTATTTTTAAAATAAAAAAAAGTTAATTCCGGCCAAAAATTATATAAACAATTATGTATTGACTGAAATTACTGAGGCGCGCCACAGTAATCACGTGCAGTGATTAAATCAGTAGGCGTAGTGTATATAGATTTGCATACTGTATATCAGCGCTCTCCGTATATATAAAGCGCGTATAAATTTCTTTTTTTGTGCATATTTTTTTTTTTGCGTTTGCGCCAATAAAACTTTTTTAAATTCATAACACTGTTCACGTGTCAGTGGAATTTTGGTTAAAACCAGTTTTAATCGTTTTAATCGGTTTTTACATGAAAAATAAAACCGGTTCCAAACTCTAGGCGATACTGGGGAAGATCTTCACTCGTTGCCAAGTTATTTGGTGAAAAACACGTCTAAATAAAATCTTTTTTGTTTTTTTTTTTGTTTTATTTTTAAAAAAGCATGAAATTGAAAAAAACAATTAAGAGCACCATGAAAGAAGATATATCAATTTTTAGTGACGCGTCTCCAAAAAGATCTGATTCTATTTATAACCAAATTAACGCGCCGCATTATCGGGACTTTCTCAATGATATAACTTTTGGAGAAGGAGATTCTTGGTTCGGTACTTA